TGGGAACGGGCACGGAACGGCTGGGAACGGGTGGGAGCGGCTGGGAACGGGTGGGAGCGGCTGGGAACGGCTGGGAACGGGCAGGGAATGGGATGGGAATGGGGCAGGGAATGGGATGGGAATGGGATCCGGCTGGGAACAGGGCAGGGAATGGGCAGGGATTGCAGCTGGGAATGGGGCAGGGAATGGGCAGGGAATGGGATCCAGCTGGGAATGGGCAGGGAATGGGATGGGAATGGGCAGGGAATGGGATCCAGCTGGGAATGGGCAGGGAATGGGCAGGGATTGCAGCTGGGAATGGGGCAGGGAATGGGCAGGGAATGGGATCCAGCTGGGAACGGGGCAGGGAACGGGGCAGGGATTGCAGCTGGGAATGGGATCTGGCTGGGAATGGGCAGGGATTGCAGCTGGGAATGGGATTGCAGCTGGGAATGGGGCAGGAAATGAGGCTCCAGCTGGGAATGGGGCAGGGAATGGGATTGCAGCTGGGAATGGGGCAGGAAATGAGGCTCCAGCTGGGAATGGGGCAGGGAATGGGATTGCAGCTGGGAATGGGATCCGGCTGGGAATGGGCAGGGATTGCAGCTGGGAATGGGCAGGGAATGGGATTGCAGCTGGGAATGGGCAGGGATTGCAGCTGGGAATGGGCAGGGATTGCAGCTGGGAATGGGATGTGGCAGGGAATGGCATTGCAGCTGGGAATGGGGCAGGAAATGAGGCTCCAGCTGGGAATGGGGCAGGGAATGGGATTGCAGCTGGGAATGAGATAGGGAATGGCATTGCAGCTGGGATTGGGGCAGGGAATGGGACAGAGAATGGGGCAGGGCTGGGATTGCAGCTGGGAATGGGGCAGGGAATGGGGCTGGGGTCGGATTCCAGGGATGGGACAGAGAATGGGACAGAGAATGGGATTGCAACTCTGAAAGGAGCAGGGAATGGGCCAATATTGGGATTCCATCTTGGAATGGAGCAGGGAATGGGCCAGGGCTGGGATTCCAGCTGGGATGGAGCAGGCCATGGGCCAGGGCTGGTCCCTCAGCCTGGAGGTGGCTGTGCACGTGCCACCACAGCTGGGATGAGCCTCCATCCATGGGATCTCTGGTGGGGATTGGATCCAGCCCCTCCAGCCCTGTGCCAAGGGGCTCCTGGGCACAGGCTGGGGTCACTGGGGGCCAGGACAGCACCTGCAGGGACCTTCTGGAGAGGAGAGCATGGAACAAGCCCTGCCAGCTGCTGCAGCCTCACCCAGCCCCTGGTCAGCGTGAGGGACAGAGGCACACAACGCCAGCACTGCTCAGGCTGGAAGAGCCCTCTGAGGCCAGTCCAACCACCCCCAGCACTGCCAGGGCCAGCCCTGCCCGTGTCCCCAAGTGCCACCTCCACTGGGCTCTGAAATCCTCCAGGGATGGGCACCCCAAACCTCCCTGGGCAACCCCAACTCCTGGCCACCCTTTGCTGCTGACGCCCACCCTGAGGCCGTTCCCTGGGAGCAGATCCCAGCTCCCACCTGGTTCCAACCTTCCAGGGGGTTGTGCAGAGCCAGAAATTCCCCCTGAGCCTCCTTTTCCTGGTGCTCAGGAGGAGAAGGAAGAGATCAGCCCAGCCCTGGGCTGCTGGCCAGCCCAGCTGGGTCGCACAGCCCTGCGCACCCCCAGGCCCGGGCTGTCACCTTGTCCCCTGGCTCAGGGCTGGCCCTGCCTGGCAGATCCGAGCCGTGCCTCCCCTCGGATGCCAGCGGGTGCCTGCACATGGCTGGGAGCAGCCTGCAGAGCCCATCTGTGGCACACAGAGCCAGGCAGGTCCCCGTGCCAGCAGCAGCACGCTGCTCCCAGCCCCAGGGCTGCACGGGGCTCTGGGGACAGCCCGGCTGTCACCCTGGGCTCACACTGCCACTCTGGGCTCTGTGAGCCCAAACATCACCACACGGCCCAGCTTTTTCCACGGCATTCACCTCCACTCCTGTTAGGCACTCATTTATCTCTTCTTTTTCCCCTTTTATTTTTTGGCCAGCATAACGCCGGGATCCCAGCTCTGCGTGCCCCGAGCTCCACGGGTCCCCCCGCAGGCCAGCGGGGCTCGGGGGATGTCCCCCAGCCCCAGGGCGGCCAGCAGCAGCACAGCTGTGGCCCTGGAGATGCAGCTGTGGCCAGAGCCCCGCTTGGGTGGTGTCTCCCTGCTCCCCGGGATGACACACGGCAGACTCCACTCCAGCTGGCCCCATTGTATTGGATCCACAGCGACAGACAACAGGAGCCAGAAACTTTTTGTTCGAGTGGAGCCAGCAGATGTGACACTGAATAAACACAGACAGTCAATCTGCTGAGTAAGAAGGTATGGCTCGTATAAATAACATACATCTAATCCTGCTTCCATCTCAGCCCCAAATATGGGAATGCAAGATGCTCCGCGGATCCGGGCTCTGAACAATGAGCTGGAGCACAGGCAGACAACAGGCAGCCCTCGGAGCTCTCCGGGCTCTGATTTCCCTCGGCATCGTTGGCACGGTGTTGGCTCCCCACAGAGTGCCAACGGCGTGCCCAGCCCGGTGCCACACGGGCTGAGTGCCCCTGGCCCAAATTGCTGCTGCCCGACGGAGCCCCTTCCTTGCACTCAATTAACAGCACCGTTCTAATCATCCTGACCCTGCCAGTGCCCGGCCCTGACCCTGCCAGGACACACCTGCCACCTCCCCGAGGAGTTTGCACACCTGCAGCTGCCCAGGGCTGCTTTTGGTGGAGGGGCAGCCCCCAGACCTCGTGCCCAGGGGGGCTGAGGCGGTGCTTGAGGCCAGGGCAGTGCTGCAGCCCCTCTGCTGTGCCCACTGCCACGGGGCAGCTGTGGCACCACATCCTTCCCTCTCTCAGCGTTTCTCATAGAGCAGCACAGAGAGAAGAAAGAGAAAACAATTTCTATTCCTGCTCCTTGTTTTCCCATGTGGAATGTGCTTGGAGAATTGTTTCCCTGGGGTGATGCTTGGTTGGGTTCTGGTGAGGATTGTTTGAGCCTGGTGGCCAATCCAATGTGGCTGGGCTCTCAGAGAGGGGCACGAGTTGTGAGTTAGATATTGCAGTTAGAAAAGTAGCTTTGTAGTTTTAGTATCTCCTTTAATTAGCACATTAATGGATTATAGCACATTTATTATAAATAATCATTCAGCCTTCTGAGCTGAGTCAGACATCAGCATTTTTCCCACCAGGTTCACCTGCATGTACAACAGGTAGGTGTCCCCCAGCAGAAAAAAGCACAGGGACAACGACCCAGGGCCATCCCCCAGGATTCCCTCCTCAAGGACCCCTGGAACACGAGGAAGTTTCTAACTGGGCCAAGAATCTGCTTTATAATAGGAAGGTTAAACGAGGAGGGGAGGAGTGGCACTGCCATCCTCAGCACCCCTCAACCCCACTGGAGAGACCCCTCCATCCTCCCTGCTCACCACACAGCCACCAAAAACAGCACGGAGAACAATTTAACATCACGGAGAACAATTTAATATCACCACCCGTGGCAGGCACATTCTCCTCTCTCTCAGGATTTTTTCATAGGAGAGCACGGAAGAAAAAAAAGAGAAAACAATTTCTATTTCTGCTCCTTGTTTTCCCACACGTGGGGAATGTGTTTAGAAAATTGTTTACCTGAAGTAATTACTTTATTAGCTTCTAGTAAAGATTGTTTGAACCTAATAACCAATCCAATCTACCTGTGGTTGGACTCTTGAGAGAGTGTTACAAGCTGTTAGTCAGCTATGGTAGTAAGAAAAAACAAGTATATAATTTTAATATCTCCTTTAAATAATACATTAATGTATTATAGTACAGTTATAATAAAGAAATCATTCAACCTTCTAAACTAAAATCAAACATCATCACTTCCTCCCACCAAATTCACCTACACTTACAATAAGCACACTTCCCAGCATTTTCCACGGGATTCACCTCCGCTCCTGTCAGACACTCATTTATCTCCTGGTTTTTTGGCAGCAAGCTCCTCCAGGGGCAGCAGGATTTGTTTGTTCCCTGGGAGCCCGGGCCTGGAGCTGCAGCCATCTGTCAGAGGGAAGGAGCTCCTGGCCACGGCTGGGGCTCAGCAAACCCTCCCTGGCTTTCGTGTGCCCCCTCAGGACCCAAAGCAAAGCAGAAAACCTCGGGGTTCCACATCTGCACACCCCAATTATTGTACACACACAGGGCGGAGCGGGTGGGACGAGCCAAAAGCAGATTTGGTGCCCCAGAAGTCACCCGGGGGATTGTTTTGCCAAGAGACTCGTGGGGACATCAGCAGAGACGTTCAGGTCTCCTGGGCATCCCTGCCATGGAATTCAAAGCCCTGGGAAATGGCAGAGGGAATTTCCCTCCCTGCAATGCCCCCAGGCCACTCCTGAAGCTCAGCCCTGCCCCTCCCAGCCCCAGAGATGGACACCAGAGCTCCCTGCTTTGTTGAGCTTCACTCTGGGACCCAAAACTGCTCGCTTTTGGCCCAGGATAAAACTGGGCCACTCAGACTTTGTTCTTTCTATTCCCTGGGTTTCACCTTCCTGAAAGAACCTCATCAGGAGCTGTCGGGAAAAATGAAGTTACACCAGCTGATCCCTCTGAATCCACACCCTTGCCAACCTCCCAAAAACCTGGAAAGGTTTGGGAAGGTGAACATGGGAAGGTGGAGAAGAGTGTGGCTGAGCCAGGGGTCACCCCAAGGGGTTCAGAGCAGGAACTGAGCCCAGAGCTCACCCAGGAGCCCAAACTCCCTCTGCACCCATGGAGAGCCACGAGCAGGAGAATTCCCCCAGGGCCAGAAGAGATTCAGCCCTTAAAAAGTGCTGGGAAGGGAAGGGAGCACCAGGAGGGGCTGAGGGAGCTGGGAAGGGAATGGAGAGTTCCTGAGGAGCTGGGAAAGGGCTGGAGAGTTCCTGAGGGAGCTGGGAAGGGAATGGAGAGTTCCTGAGGGAGCTGGGAAGGGGCTCAGCCTGGAGCAAAGGAGGCTCAAGGGGACCTTGTGGCTCTGCACAGCTCCTGCCAGGAGTGGACAGGCTCTGCTCCAGGGAACAGGGACAGGATGTTCAGGGTGGATATTGGGGGAAAAGATACAATAAAAGGGGAAAAGCAGCTGTCCTTCACTGAAATTCCCAAGTTTTCTGGGCAAAGGGCAGAGCTCCAGAGCAGGAGCAGAACTGTTCCTCCCCCAGGGCTCCCCATCAGCCTCAGTCATCACCTGTAGGAAGCTGCAGTAAAGCTGGACAAGATTAAATGGAAATAAAGGGGCAGGATCCCCAAATCCTGCTGCAAACAGGGCAGGAACTGAGGAAAAACCACAGCCAAGATCTTCTGGAGCACGCCCCTGCAGAGCTGCACCACAGCCCAGCCCCTTCACTCCCCCATGGAATTCACATTTGCTCTCTCATCCCCCCCAGCTGCATTTTTGCCATGAAAACCTGCAGGATTTTTTTTTTTCCCTGAGGAGACAAAATCAGCGGCAAGTTTGCCAAAAGCCACTTGAGGTGGCTGGGGCTGTGGAGTCCCTGTTGGCTGGTGCAAGGTGAGCTCTGCAGGATTTCACAGCGCTCCTCCCTCGGGACATGGATCCCTGTGAGACACAGACCACGCTCAGGACTTCTGCTGCTCACAGCAGAGCTGGCTCGTCACCTCCAGCTGCCTCAGCACCAGCCCTGTCCACAACAGAGGATGCACACATTACCTTGCTCACAAAGAGAGTGCGGGGGTCGATGATGTCCAGGAAGTGCCTGAATCTGCCATAAAATGAAGTCTGGAAAAGAGGAGACAGAAAAAACAAACCATGTTCAGCGAGCAACTGCCCTTCAGGGTTTATTTGCTTTGCAGGGTGAAGCATCACCTGACAATGAATAACACAGGAGGGCTTTGCTGGTGATTTGGGATAGGAAAGCCAAAGCACTCCAGGGCTCCCTGGATCCCTCATTTTGGTCCCGGGAAAAGCCTCTTCAGGCTCTTTTCAGCTTTTTCATCCCTACGCAAACACAGCCAGGCTGGATTGTTCCCAAAGTGCCACCAAGAGCCAGCCCAGGCTGCTCAGGGCTCCACCCCGAGCCAGGAAAAGTCTGAGAGGAGGGAAAAGGATCTGTGGAACAGCAGGGGAAGGTCACGGGCAGCTCCAGAGGCAAGGAGAAAACAGGACTCAGCATTTAGACAGTGAAAATAAAAATATCAGCGGAGTTTGTACTAACTCCAAGCCCCAGACCAGGAAATGCTGAGGGACTGGGAGCCCTTGGGATACAGGAACATCATCACTCCTGCACAGCTGGATGCCAGGATCCAGGGGCAGGTGGATTCCAGTGGGCACAGGGCGTCCTGATGGCCTCTCCCATCAGCCATCAGGGACCTGGATCATGGCCAGGGACACCAGGCAGCTCTGGGATCCTGGGAATTCTCCATCCTCATGTGGCCCATCTCCTGCTGGGCTCCTTCTGCAGGGATGGGCTGTAAATGAAGGCCTGGAGCGTGGCTGGAGCAGGGGAAGGGCGTTTAATCACTGCGGCCACCTCTTCCCACGGCGTGCTGCTGCTGCTGCCCTGCTCACCCAGGGGTCCCAGCCCTGATTCCTGCAGGAATCCTGCTCCAAGAGCCCTGTCCAGGACACTGCTGACCACCCACTGCAGCCTGACCTCACCAAACTCTGTCATTCTTCCACATTCTGCACAAAAAAAAGAAAAAAAAAAAAAAAAAAAAAACACACCAAAAAAAAAAAAAAAAACCAATGGAACAAAACGGCTCCACACAACTCCAGGAAAAAAGCACAGCGGTTTTTAATTAGCATGGATCTAATTAATGCTAATTCTGGTACTTTCGAGCAGTTTTGAGCTTGGCATTTTGCTGGCTCCGTTTATTTTGGGTTTGGGGTCCCTGCAGACGGCAGCAGCCCCCCAGCATGTGCCAGGGGTGGGGGGACTGAGCAATTCCTGCCCCAGGCACCCCTGAGCAGCCCACGGAGCCACAGCCCAGTGCCCATCCCACACAGCCAGGGCAGCTGGAACTGCTGCCAAACGAGCACTGGGACTGCTGCCAAACACCTGGAACTGCTGCCAAACACCTGGGGTTGCTGCTAACCAGCTGGAATTACTGCCAACCAGTTGGAATTACTGCTAAACACCTGGAATTACTGATAACCAGCTGGAATTCCTGCCAAATGAGCACTGGGACTGCTGCCAAACACCTGGGGCTGCTGCCAAACACCTGGAATTGCTGCTAACCAGCTGAAATCACTGCTAAACACCTGGGATTGCTGCCAACCAGCTGGAATTGCTGCCAAACACCTGGAATTGCTGCTAACCAGCTGGAATTACTGCTAAACACCTGGAATTACTGACAACCAGCTGGAATTCCTGCCAAACAAGCACTGGGACTGCTGCCAAACACCTGGGGTTGCTGCTAACCAGCTGGAATTGCTGCTAACCAGCTGGAATTACTGCTAAACACCTGGGATTGCTGCCAACCAGCTGGAATTGCTGCCAAACACCTGGAATTGCTGCTAACCAGCTGGAATTGCTGCTAACCAGCTGGAATTGCTGCCAACCAGTTGGAATTGCTGCTAAAGACTTGGAATCACTGCTAACCAGCTGGAATTACTGCTAAAGACTTGGAATTACTGCTAACCAGTTGGAATTGCTGCTAACCAGTTGGAATTACTGCTAACCAGCTGGAATTACTGCTAAAGACTTGGAATTGCTGCTAACCAGCTGGAATTGCTGCTAACCAGCTGGAATCGCTGCCTTCATCAACAGCAGCATGGGGGAATTCTAAACCCGAGTGGCCTTGACTTCCCCCCTGCCTTAATCTCTGTGCCACATGGAGAAAAGCAACCCCGAGTGGGATTCAATGGAATTGAATGGAATTCAATGGAATTATTGAATGGAATTATTGAATGGAATTGAATGGGTGCTTTACACCCCCCTGACCATGCAGGGAAGGCCAAGGGGGGAAGGAGAGGTCGGGTTCCGAGGGGCAGCACAGAAATGTCATTTGGAGATCCCAAACCCCACTGCCCGCTGCCCGGGCTCTCCAGAGGCTGCTCCCACGTGCCAGGCGAGGCTTTGGCTGGCACTGAGCTCCTCCTGGCCAAGCTCAGCAGGGCCCAGCTCAAGGACAGGTTGGAGCAGCCCAGCCCCAGCCTGGTGCCGTGCCAGTCTCACATTCCCTGCTCCTCTCCTGGGGAGCTGGGAGAGCCCAAACCCTGAAATCAGGGAATGTTTGGGACGGAAGGACCTGGAATCCCACCCAGAGCCGCCCTGGCAGGGCAGGGACCCCTCCCGGCTGCTCCAGCCCAGTGTCCAGCTGGCCTGGGCACCCCGGGGCTCTGGGAATTGCAGTGCAGGGCAGGAACCGTGTGGGATTTGTTCCCAGTCCCTTCCCTGCTCAGGGCAGCTGGGGCTGAACGGGTTCGGGCAACTGCGATGGCTCAGGGCCTCATCTCCCCACGGCAAGAGAGCTCTGAGAGCCGGGCTCAAGTGAGAGCTGGGCTCAAACCTGAGCCGGGCTTAGACCTGAGCCAGGCTTAGACCTGAGCCAGGCTCAAGTGAGAGCTGGGCTTAGACCTGAGCCGGGCTTAGACCTGAGCCGGGCTCAAGTGAGAGCTGGGCTTAGACCTGAGCTGGGCTCAAATGAGAGCCAGGCTCAGACCTGAGCTGGGCTCAAACTCAGAGCCGGGCCCAGCCCCAGAACCGGGCTCAAACCTGAGCTGAGATCAACCCCAGAGCCAGGCTCAGCCCCAGAGCCAGGCTCAGCCCCAGAGCCAGCAGGGCTCAAACCCCAAGCCAGGCTCAGCCCCAGAGCCAGCAGGGCCCCTCGTGCCCAGCTCCCCCCTGCCCTCGTGCCCTGCCCCGGTGCCAGCCCTGCACACAGCCTCCTTTGTGCTGCCCTGCAGCCCTGGCAGCCCTGGCAGCCCTGCTTCCCCTCCGGAGGCGAGGGAAGCTGCCTCGCTGCTTGGCACCCCGGCCATTCCTCCTTCCCCGTTTATTCCCCTGACTGGAGGCCAAATGAAGTTTTTCAGTTCAGGGTTGGTTTTCACAGAGCTGCGTAAAAAAAAAAAGGGAAAAAAAAAAAAACAACAAAAAAAAAACCAATTTAAAAACCCCAAGCAGACAACAACAAAAAAAAAGCCCCAGCAATTCCCAATAATTCAGAAATTTGGAGGAAATTCTTCCCTAGGAGGGTGGGGAGGGACTGGATGGAATTCCCAGATTTGCTGTGGCTGCCCCTGGATCCCTGGCAGTGCCCAAGGCCAGGTTGGACACTGGGGTCGGATCCCACCTGGGGCAGTGGGAGCTGTCCCCATGGCAGGGGTGGCTCTGGGTGGGATTTTGGGTCCCTCCCAACCCAAACCAGTCTGGCATTCCGTGATCCACGGTGTCAGGAGATGGAACTGGGAGGAGAGGACGCAGGAGCAGCTCCGTGGCCTCCCTGCCAGCCCAGCGCACACCTCGTGAGAGCTGGAGCTGGTTCTGTGTCCCAGGCTCCCTTCCAGCCCTGCTCCCACCCTGATGCTCTGCCTTTCCCCTCCCTGGGCTCCTCCTGGAGCAGCAGCTGCACTGAGCCGGCAGCAAAGGGAACAGCACCCATTTCCTCTGATGAGCCACGGCTATTCTGGGACCACTTCTCAGCAGCCTGCAGCACCAGGAGCTGCTGGGGAACGTGAATTCCCTTCCCGGGCCCGGCTGCTGGGCAGCACCCTGGAGCCCTGCAGGTCCAGCTGGTCCCAAAAAACACAAGGAAACACCTGCAGGGCTCCGGGAGAAGGTAAGGGGCCATTAGCGAGGTGTTCATCACCTCCAGGAGGAAAAGAATTCCAGGGAGCCTGTGCTGGGCAGCCCTGGGAAGAGCAGAGGCACGGAGAACATCAGCACTTTAATTACAGCCTGATTTTAAAGAGGATTTAATTCAGCCAGAGCAAAAAACATGCAGGCTTGGGCTTGAGCTCAAAACCAGGCTCACGTCAGCTTTACATTAATTAGAAGAGATTGAAGATACAGCAAACAAAATGAAGGCAAGTGAAGCCATGGAGCAACGGGGCTGTGACAGGGCACAGCCAGGTTTGTGTCATCTGTGCGTTGGCCAGCCCACTGCAAGTCTGGGCTAAAACTGTGGAATCACTTGGGTGGCTTTAATTTGGTTTTCCAGAGTTAAGGAGCCAAGATTCCAATGGGAGAAGCTCCTGCTCCACGGGCAGGGCCAGCACAGGGCACAGGAACCTCTCAGGAGCAGGAGCTGGGGGTTAAAACTCATAGCACGGCACAAAAACCAACAAATTCCACTTTTAAATCCAGTCCTGGGTGATGGAGATGGAAAAAACAACAGCAGGAGGATGTGGAGCTGCTGGAATAAATCCAGAGGAGACCCCGGAGCTGCTCCAGGGCTGGAGCCAGGCTGGGAGAGCTGGGAATGTTCCCCTGGAGAAGGGAAAATTCCAGGGAATGCTCAGAGTGCCTGGAGGGGCTCCAGGAGAGCTGGAGAGGGACTGGGGACAAGGGACAGAGGGACAGGAGCCAGGGAATGGCTCCCACTGGGAAAGGGGAGCTTGGGCTGGGATCTTGGCAAGGAATTCCTGGCTGGAATGGAATTCCCAGATTTGCTGGGGCTGCCCCTGGATCCCTGGCAGTGCCCAGGGCCAGGCTGGATCCACCTGGGGCAGTGGGAGGTGTCCCTGCCCATGGGATGGGATAATGGGATGGAATAATGGGAAAGATGCAGCATGGAACGGGAAAGATCCAGCAGGAAATGGGGAAGATCCAGCAGGGAATGGGGAAGATCCAGAAGATCCAGCATGGAATGGGAAAGATCCAGCATGGAATGGGAAGATCCAGCAGGGGGAATGGGAAGATCCAGCAGGGAATGGGGAAGATCCAGCAGGAAATGGGGAAGACTCAGAAGATCCAGCAGGGAATGGGGAAGATCCAACAGGGAATGGGGAAGATCCAGCATGGAACGGGAAGATCCAGCAGGGGGAATGGGAAGATCCAGCAGGGAATGGGGAAGATCCAGCAGGAAATGGGGAAGATTCAGAAGATCCAGCAGGGAATGGGAAGATCCAGCAGCTCTGGGCTGCTGTGGATAGCGGGAATGGTCTCTCCATGGGGATTGTCCCACTGCTGGGACACACACTCATGCCCCAGGGAAGGAGCAGCTCCTCCAGGAGTCCTGCCCAGCTCTGCAGGGACTGGCAGAGGCTTTACGAGCCTTTTTGCCATCCTGAATGGTTCCACAAGCACAAGCAGTGCTCTCGGGTCAGCCACCACACCACGCACACCGCGGGTGTCAGCGGGGACCGCCGCAGTGCCCTGCTCACCTGGGCACAGGTGTGTGGGTGAGCGGGGCTGCCGGGGCAGTCACAGCCCGTGCTAAACAGTGTCCTGGGCGGCCACAGCCACCCCTCCATCCTTTGGCACCACAGCCGGGCACAGCCCGCTGGGGCTGGCAAAGCGCCCGCCTGGGGCACCCGCGGCTGCTGGGAGCCCCGCTGCTGCCAGGGCCGCTCCGGCCCTCCCGAGCACCCCGGGCACAGCCCGAGCTCGCAGCAGCGCCTCGGGGGACGGAGCCGCCCGCGCCGTGCGACACCGGGGCCCTGCGCGTCCCCGCGGGGCTCGAACCCGCCACCCCCCGGGCCCGCGGCCGCCGCGCTGCGCCCCGCGCCACAGCGACCACAGGGACCCCAGCGCGGCCGCGGGCAGGGGGCGGCGGCCCTGACTGACAGCTCGGCCGGCCAATGGCGCGGGGGCTGCGGGCCAATCGGCGCGCGGCGCCGCGGGAGGGGCGGGGCGAAGCGGGGAGCGGGGGGCTCCGCTGGCGGGGTGGGGGGGCGATGGCGCGCGCGGGGCCGGGGCGGCTCCCGCCGCCGCTCCCGGGGTTCCCCCGCCGCCTCCCGCCGCCGGCCGTACCTGCTCGAAGCGGGGCTTCCCCAGCTGGAACGGGGGATAGTCCGCCGGCTCCGCCATCCCGCAAGCGCCACTTTAAACAGCCTCCCCCGCCGCCGGGCCCCGCCCCTCGGCCGGGCGCGCGCTGATTGGCTGCGCCCAACCGCAGCTGCCGCGGGGCACGCCGGGAGATGGAGTCCGCCGGCCACTGCCGGGGGCGGGGCCGCGCCGGCTCCGCCAGCCAATGGGGAGCGCGCTGGCCGCGGGGCACCATGGGAAATGTAGTCCCGGCAGGGAGTGAGCGGGGAAAGGGGAGCCCAGAGGGGACACGGAGAGGAGAGATTCACCTCAAGTGTGCAGAGCTGAACGCCCAAAAACCTCTGAAACAGCAGCCCCGGTGCTGCCGAATGACACCCATGGCAGAAAGGACACGAGAGGGCTGGAGCGAGGCCAGGGCAGGGAATGAAGCTGGGAAGGGGCTGGAGAATTCCCGAGGAGCTGGGAAGGGAATGGAGAGTTCCTGAGGAGCTGGGAAGGGGCTGGAGAGTTCCTGAGGAGCTGGGAAGGGAATGGAGAGTTCCTGAGGAGCTGGGAAGGGAATGGAGAGTTCCTGAGGAGCTGGGAAGGGGCTGGAGAGTTCCTGAGCAGCTGGGAAGGGAATGGAGAGTTCCCGAGGGAGCTGGGAAGGG